CCCCAAAACCCCAAAACCCCAAAACCCCTTGAGGCTAGGATATTATGCATAAATGATTTATAAACTCAACGGCTTGATCAAGAGCAAATTAAAAAATATTTATATTGTTAATGAAGTAATTTTAGTCGACAGCCTCTTTGCTAATAAGCTAGCCATTGTCTAACATAAATCTCCATGTTGGTAATTAATCATTAATTTAACCTTAATTAAGCTAATCTTAACAACAAGAAACTCTAATAGCCATTGCAAGCCTCGAGAAATTCAGCTAGTGTAATTTTCTAACCAAAGATCTTAAATGAAAATTTCAAAAGTTCAGTGATTAGCTCATTATCAAAACAAAACAACAATGATCTAAGATTAGTAGGAAGAAAAAGCAAATGCAGTTATCCATCTAGTTCTTAGAAAGAAAATATGGCTTTTAAGACTCCTAAGAAAATTACTTAGAATTCTATTAAGACCTCTATAGAAAGGTAGTAGTAGAACTAATAATCATAGGGGAGATTAAAAAAGTAAACATCACCAATAGAATTCAGGAAAATTCTACAACAAAAGGCTAATTCCCCAGTAAATAAAGTTTTGAAAGTAGAATCAACATTTGGGCAAACTACTTCTAAGAATCTTTGGAATACTCAAGTTGGATAGTAGTATCTATCATATAATAATCAAGTTTTGAGATCTAATCAATAAAGCCCTCAAGCACGACCTAAGTTACAAGAGGCTCATTCCAAATCTAAGGAAAGATCCAAACCATAAATATCAAAATCAAGCTAAAAGAAAATAGATGAAGAGAAGAGGGAGTAAAATTATAAAAAACTTCAAGAATTCGCTAAATAATATAGTCCCAAAGGTTTTGATCAGCCTAAAATTTTGAGCATAAAATAATCAAGGAATAACAGTAATACATCTCTCAAGGAGAGAGTATTGAAAAGTAACAATAAGTCTAGCTATTTTTCTCAGGTTCAAATTGATTAGGCTAAAGAGAATCCAATAAAGTAAATGTAAGATCAATATTTGGAATAAAAAAAGAAAGCTTATTAAAATCTTGAGAGGAAGCTGCAAGCCCTTAATGAGGCAACTAAGTCTGAAAATGAGCCAAGCTATAAAAATTCGATTGCTGACACTTAGATTAGTTATGAAACAAGTGGTCACACAAGTTAGACTTCAATAAAGTAAAATCATCATAAAGTAACACCAATTGCTATTGGCAGCTTCCATCAATATTAATCTCTAAGACCATTCGATATCTAGAAAGTGGACTTGAGAGATATACAAGATGACTCAGTCTACTAAAGTACTTTGGAAGAGTGCATCATTGAAAGAGATGTAAGGGATAAAGCAAATCTTCACAATAAGCCATACTCAAATGGCTAAGCTATTATACCGTCTTAGAAAATGCAAGACAATAAGTTAAAATAGTAGTGAATTAGTATTAATTTGCAACTCATGCCTGTGTATTAATTCTTAATAAGACTCGTTTAAAAAGCTATATTTATTATGTCAATATATTGTGCTGATAAATTTTAAATAGGTAACTCTCAAACAGCTTTAGCTATGATGACAATCTTGATTATGCAATTAACTCAAGAATGATAAATTAATAATAATTAATAAAGAATAAATAGCAGCTCAAGAAATGTCTGGTTTTAGGTTTGAAACTTATGAGAATGTGATTACCAAGCATACTTTGAACAAGGTTCACTGGACCTAAGCAGCGAGATATGCATTCAACAATCACTTCAATCAAGATGCTTGGACTGTTGCCCGTGTTAGACATCTTGATAATGACACAGTTGAGATTATCAAGCGCAAAGATCAAAATAAATCAATTTGCTACAAGTGGGGTTAAGATTAGAGAGGAATCTATGAGAGAGTTGTTATTAACAGAGCTGATAAAACTGTAGCTATTGATAGACTAGACATGAACTGGAAAATTGATCATCCATTTATGGGAAGAAGAGACTTGTTTATGGTTTCCAAGAGAGGAGGAGATAACGCTACTGATTTTATAAGACATGAGTTCTGGCTCCACAAGCTTCTCAAGATGCAACTTGTTATGTGTACTCATTGGTGCGCTTGGGGATACAAAAGATAATTTAAAAAGTAACAAGCAACCAACTGAAGCGAAAAGATAACAGTAAAATAAGAACAAGCGAGACTTTCATTGTCTATTTTAGTTCTTAATTATTTAAACCATTTAACTTTACTCATAATGCTAAATTATTATCAATATGGGGTTTTGGGGTTTTGGGGTTTTGGGGTTTTGGGGTTTTGGGGTTGCTT